AAAGGGATTGTACTAGATGCCAACCTGCTCCTGGGCGCTACTTCAGCCAAGAGTCATGGCAAGAGAGAGCTCAGATCTGCCACTAGTATGGGATTGGAAAACAAGAAAAGCAGCAGCCCAGAGATGTTGGATTTCTGGCTGGGCAAGCCAGATTCTGGGAAAACAGAAGAACTTGATCTTCAGTCTGTTTCCAAAGAGAATTTAAAGACAGCACCAAGATTTAGGATTTTACAGGCTTCGCATCAGTCTCCCCCAACCACTCCACCTGTTAGAAAGCAGTCAGATTAGCGGACACTGAACATAAAGAATGCATCTATGAACCCAAGGCCTAAAAAAAGTCTTCCCTCTTGTCTCATGGGAGATCTAGCTCTACACAAGTCACTCCTCTTCTGAAAAGAACACATGTAGCCTATAGAGAAGATTTAAAACTCCTCAAAGCAAAAAGACTTCCATTGCTGTCTGCCCATCTCTCCACTCCTTACATTACCCCAGAAGACTGATTCGGTAGAATACTCTGGCACCTGCATGGGCCAGTGGCAGCAGGTTCACAGGCAAACATTAAACAGGACATGTATGATCTCAGATTCAGCATAAGACCCAGTGGATGGGAACTTTCCCCTGTGACACCATTTATCAAGGTAGTGTGATTTGGGTGACAGGTTAGGTATCATTTGAAAACAATAGGTTAATATGCCATTTCAACCCAAGCACTCTTTCAGAATGAGGTAATCCAAAGAGAGACAGTGCCAATCAGTGTCAGGACCAGGGCCAGGAAAAGAGACTTTACTGACCACAAGTGAGCTTGGTTAGCTAATAACCTGATTAGCTTATAGCCTGACTTTGCAGTGCCAGGCACGTTGCCTCAAGTGGGGGTTCTGACAGCAAATTAGGCACTATTTGATGCAAATTTTGAGGTGGACTTTGTGGGTGGCTTGGAAAGTGGGTCCAGGACACTATAATCCTCTTATTAACCAGCATGGTCTAATTGCTGCTGAAAGTAGGTGGGGACAGAGTCCTGAGCCAAAGAGAGAAAAGTCACAGCATCCATTCTGGTTTCTGGAAGGTGATGGGTGTTCTTGTTGACAGGACCCACAAGGAAAATGGAGTTTTGTAGAACAGTTGCCTTTAAGCAAAATGGCTGAGCTTGCAAAGAGAAGTGTCCATCTGAGAAACTCTCAAAGGTATTACACTGGGTTTTGTTTTGCATTATTTTTTTTCATTTTGTTTGAATGGCAGTTATGCTGAGAGATGGAGTCCCTGGATGAGGGTAGAATTCACCATTCTTGCAGATCCACTGCTTCTGAGGCAATGTTTTTTTTAATTACCCACTGTGTGAGGTTGATTCAATTATAGCAAAAATCAGAATAGTACTAATGTCACATACTTTCCTAAGGTTAAGTCTTAGGCACAGCTCTGGCCAGGATCACATAAAATACCACTAAATGAAGCCGGACACACTCAGTTAATCACGAGTGCTCAGAATTCAGCCATTAATCATCAACCATCAGGCATGGCCTACAGAAGGGAGCTGTTCCACGTACTCAGATCAAACTACCAGTAGATGGCTTAAAGCTCTGGTACTCTCAGCTATAATCCAAAAGTTTCCTCCCACACCCACTGTACACCCACTCCTCTCCCCCACCCCTCCCTCCTGAAGAAGTACAGGAAAGAATACTCTCAGGCTGTACAGGCTTCACAGAGGCCATTTTCAGGCAAGCCATGGACCTCTCTTTCATACCCCCCCCCACACACTGTTGCCATGGAGACTGGACGCCACCTGAGCTCTGTGCTTTCCCTGGAGTCCTGCCTTCAAATACCTTAGTATATTCCAACCCACTCACTCCCCTGGCTCCCCAGACTGTGTACATATCTAATCTGGATTCCTTTAGCTAAATGGGGCAGGGGTCTCTGCCACACTCCACTAATGGTCTGAGTGTTCTTGCTTAAATCCTTACGTGGGGGTGGCAGCCTGTGGTTCCACGGAGACCTATGCATCCACATCTCTCCTTTCTTTTGTAGAAAAGAAGAGCTGATTCCAAGCCATGTGTGAGGTGCAAACAGTGCTTAGACAAATTGGCTGGTGGGAAGGTGAGCTTGGCCCCGGGGGTGCAGGAAGATCAGACCAGCAGGTGGGAGGCACAATGGGAAGTTAACATTGCACCCTGACTATGAATGGGACACTGGGTGCAACGCTCACAGTGCCCTGGAAAAACCAGAAAAGCAGAAACACGGAGAAGCTAATGGATGTTTCTGAACACAGCTTGTATTAACTCCTCTGCTTCCTTCAACCACCCACTTCCTCAGTTACCTCTTAGCCCAGTTCATTCCTCAAATCTAAACCACCTCAGAAATCTTGTACATCCTCCAACCATAACACTGACCAAAACGCTCTCATCCCTGCCTTTTCTTGTCCTTCCATTTTATTCCCAGTAGACTACTTACCCAGAATTCCTGGCTAAAATCTGTGCATTTTCTGACCATTAAAATCAATCCCTGGCTTCATTTATTTCTTGGGAGGTCAGAGATAAAGCCGGTGCTATCAGTCCAGCCAGTAGAATTCCCTCAGCTCTACTTCTGCTTCTGCTCTGGTATGTGAGCTCGAACTGCCACGGTGTCACCTCCCAACTCCCTTTGCTGAGATCCCCAAAATGGACTCTCATTTTCCCTGCTGCGATCTCATCACCTGCTCCAATGTACTCACCCCTTTCTCAGCATTCACTCCTCTCCTTTATGGTTTGTGTGTGAGACACCACAGAGTGCCTGACTGGCCAGCAGGATCGGCCATCTCCAGCGTAATCTCCAGAGACTCGTTCAGACAGAAAGAAGGGATCTACTTAGGATCCTTCTGCAGGGTCGGGAAAGGTCCGCATGAATCAGCAGCATCTTACATTCTCATCTTCTCTCCATGCCCCAGGTGACCTCCCAGTACCCTCTAGGGCCTTGTACCTCTTGTGCTCTGGTTCGCACACACTGGCTTCCTTCTTATTTCCTCACACAAGAATGTCTCTGCCTCATCTTTTTCTATGGCTTCTGCCTGGGAGGCAGGTGTCTGTTCAGCCATCGCCCTATCTAAGATGGCTAACCTGGCACGAGTCGCTTCTGTGACAGCACTCTCAGTACTCTTACTTGCTTGAATTTTTATCCTTGCATTTATTGTCAAGAATTTATTCTGTCTGCTTCCCCCAAGGAAATGTGAACTCCATAAGGATGAATTCTATTTGTTTACTTTTTGATATTCCTTGGCACAAAACAAGCCTTATTAAATATTTGTCAAGTATAAAACGTTCTATAGCTTGGAGTATTTGGTGTTCAGGCTGAACTTTCCACAAGAGACACGAATAAGAGTGGGAAAGCATGCAGCTGAGAAGTTTTTGGTTAAGAGTTGCATTCTGTTTGAAAAATACAGATTTGTAGCTCCACTCCACGTGTCGCAGGTATGAGAAAGCCAATCATCTCTAAAATGGTTCCCTGTGATGTTCACCTCCAGGTATTCTTGTCCCTTTCTCCTTGAAAAGGACTGTTTTGTGTAACTATAAGATTTTATGAAAATGATATTGTGTAACTGAGAGACTGGGTCAAGAAAGACATTGTGGCTCTTCCTTGGATCACCCACTCCGAGGCCACCCAGCCACCATACTGTACCATTCAAGTTGCCCATGGACAGAATGTCACACTGAGGGACTGAAGCCTCCTGCCAATAACACCATGTGAGAGCGCCATCTTGGAAGCAGATCCTCCAGTTCCGGTCCAACCTTCAGATGATAGAGCTCAGCCTGACTTTGTGATTGCAAACCCACAAGAGATCCCAACTTAGAAACTCCCAAAATCCTAACCCATAGAAGCTACATGAGATAATGTTTATTACTGTTTTAAAATGCTAAATTTTAGAATAGTCTGTTTCACAGCTATAGGTAATTGTCATGAAGTGGATGACATGGGGGCTAGCAAGTTCAGGTCTGTCCTTATCAGTGGTTCACTGTGTAGCCCATTTCCCCTTGGTCCCAATTTGATTCTGCAACTCTTAGTAGCCACAAATGCCACCTGTATCCTCAATAAACTTTATTTAGACACAAACAGACACAACAGAAAATACATACACAGATACAGATTATTTGTTTTTTCTATATAGGATGAACAAACATCATATATGATTTTAAAAAGTAGGTGCATGGAATGTAAGAAAATGTTGCAAAGTTCCTTGTTCACTCACACATGAAACAAACATATATTTAAGAGGAAGACAGGGATATACTATCCCAACAACAAAATTCACATTTGGTCTATAAGAGCACACAGGTGTTGGGAAAGTAATCAAAGGAGTTAGGGATCCACTTATTCTTGATGTGACAGAATGCTCACAACACTAGTAGGACTCTGTTTAAACAAAAGACAGAATTGAGGAGGATTCCACACCCCTGCACAGATGCTCTGCAAGCTGTCAGCTAGGTCATAAAGCAGCTTGCAGAATACTAGATTAGCTTTCGTCTTGCGGCTTGAAGGTCTGCATAACCTCTACTTTTGTGTCCACATCATAGAGTTTTACAGAGATACACTTAGGACACTAAACTCTCCACATGCACGCTGGTTTGGAAACCCACAGTACAGAACATTGACATCAGGTTATAAAACATGGCTTTCAAATGGGAAAGGAATAGCCAAGAGGGGCACACACACTTTATAAATGCTGCCACATCCACTGTTTTCAACATGCTGTGTATGGTCCCCTTCCACGGGCAGCCATCAGCATCTGTGTCCTTCTCCCTGCCATGAGTGGAGCAGAATGGATACGTCTTGGAAGGCTGTCACTCTTTAAAGTTACACACGTGATGTCCTGGTCACTCCTGCCAGAAGCTACGCATGTCCCCAGGACAAGCTGCCATGGGACCTCCCCACTTACTCCTTTCCCAGACAAACCTCTTGCCTCCACACCATCTTCACATTTCAGATTGGGTTTCCCTAGGCAACCTCTGTATTTTAGTAAAAAATGGTTTCCACTGTACCCTTCGTGTGTCCTCTTCCTAATGTGACAAATCCAGATGAGATGAAGTTATGGAGATCTGGTCCTCCACTTCGGTAAGCATCCTTCCCATAATGCCCTGTAAGAAGATGGGGCAGAATTACCTGATGCATCTGTGACACCAACACAGAAGACAACTGCAGCTCCACCTTACCAAAAGGCAATGGTGCGCTTCGTTCAAACCAGCGGCTAAGTCAGAAGGCATAAGTGGTCAAAGAAAAAGGGTGATATATATACAGCATATATCACAAACATTACTGAGAATATATTTCTCAATATATACATATACACACATACATATGTATATATTACTGTGCAACAAAGAATAACATGTTGAAAACAGGGAGTGGGACACATGGCTTGATTTTGGCATTTCTGACCAAGCACAAAGCACATCAGAACAGCACTTCACAGATGTTCCTCAACTTACAATGGAGTTATAACCTGATAATCCCATGGTAAGCTGAAACATCATAAGTCAAAATGCATTTAATGACCATCATAACTTAGCAACACAGCACACTCTAGAATGTAATTTATTTCCCTTTTGGATTGCATGGTCATTTGCTTACTGCCACTGTCCTGCATGGAGAAAGAGGATCATACAACATACTGCTACTCCAGGAAAGGACCGGAATTCAAACTTCAAACCATGGCTGCTACTGAATGTGCACTGCTTTCAAACTACAACAAAGTAAAATAAAATGGAACACTGAACCATCATAAATCGGGACCTTCATATTTGTCCCACTGTCATCCTTCTTGATGACAATTCTCTCTCCCAATTCTCTGCTCATTCTTGTTTTGTTTGCTTTCTTTCTCCCCACAGCAAGCAGGTTCTGATGGAGTCTCTCTCTCTGTCTCTCTCCCTCTCTACATATGTGTATGTGTGTGTGTGTGTGTGTGTGTGCATGTGTGTATATGTTTACAAATCATATAAAACCTATGGGCCTGCAGACTTGTAACTTAAGAGAACTCCTACAACAGCTAATGCCAACAAGTAGAATCGTGGTTATAAAACACTGGGAAAATATTTATGTGTTTTCCTTTTTTGATTCTCTGAAATAGGACCATATCTCTCATCAACTGGATGCAGACATCTACCTGTGGGGCTGAGTTAAACAAAAAGCCGAGGGCAGGTTAAGAACTGCAGGGGAAGAAATTCAGAGGAGAAAGTTAATATTCCACTTCTGACATTCAAAGTAAGATTTTACAGTATGCTTGAATACAGGCATTGTAAGGAAAGAAAGGACTCTAAATGCCATCCTAAAGTATGTACATGCAAAAATAGAGAAAGTCACATTCTTTTCACATTGTCACACACACATTAAAACTGTACTTATAATTACAATATGTGGGAAACTACTTAAGATATAAAGTTTAAAAGTAGATAGGTGCTATATTAAATATGATAACAGAGCTATTAAAATTCAAGCCAGTAAGTTAAAAAAACCCAAAACATTCAAAAGATTGAAAGAAAATGCACAAAGATACTGACAGCTGCCCTTGGATGGCTGGAACATGGGTGTTAATTTATTTCTACTTTCAACTTTTCTACACTTTCCAACATGTTTTTCTTTAATGAATACAAAACTTTCTAATATAAAAAGGTAAAATAAATGTCTAACGTAAAGTTCATGGATGCATGCAAACACAAACCGAATCATTCTTTCTTAACAGGGCACACTCCAGATCCACACATCTCAATCTCATGAGAGAGTGCTTTAAAAAATAGATGCTCGGAACAATTGCTGATATTTTAATTCAGGAAGACAGAATCTGGGCCTAGGCAGGGGTATTCTGAAAAAGCTCTGCTTTCTGGGTTTTTAGAAACCTATTGTGTTAGGGACAATGAGAGCTGTTATTCTTTTTTTTTTTTTTTTTTTTTTTTTTTTTTTTTTGGTACGGGGATTGAACTCTGGTCCTTGTGCTTGCAAGGCAGGCCACTGAACCGCTGAGCTAAATCCCCGGCCTGAGAGCTGTTATTCTAACACAAGGGCAGAAACAAGTCAACTTAAATTCATTTAAGTGTGATCAATGAATATCTGCTGGGTTTTATGTTCAGAGATCCACTTTCTTCCTCTGGAGGATAGTGTCAAGTTCCTTCATTCTTATTCCACATCTCAAACCTTAGCATGCATCAAAATAACCTGGAAAACTTAAAAGAAATCCCAGGGGACCACTCCTAGACTTCCAGATTCCGTGGATGTGGTATAGGTCTCAAGAGTTCACATATCTAGAGCCAGGTGTGGTGGCTCACACCTGTAATCCCAGCACTTAGGAGGCTGTGGCAGGAGGACTGATGTGAGTTCAAGGCCAGCCTGCACTACAAAGCATGACCCTGCCTCAAAAAACAAAAACTGAAAGTATAAAAAAGAGTTTGCCTATCTATTAAGGTGACATTGATTCTGCTGGTCCAGGGACCACACTCTGACAATGGAATTCGGGACCAATCACATGAAGATCATGTGAATGATTTCATTTCTCAGGGCACACAGCTTTGCATGAGGCACGTTCTTGTAAAAAACTGTGGTCTCAATGCATAGTTGTACAGAATTCTCAGAGCTGAAATAAAGGCTTCTGTCTATATCCCAAGCTATGTGGACGCTGTGAACACGATCCATTATCTGAAGACAGGTATCTTCTTCAGAGAACAGGAGGGTAGCAGGTGCATCACCACCCCAGGGAGTGTGGGACCCCTTCTTCTGCAACAAACATGTCACTCTCTCCCCACCTCATCTAATTACAGAACAGTAAGAAAAGAAAGTAACAATTCAGAACCCTCATAAATTTGAACTACATCAATTCAGAACCTGTGATACATCCTGCAGAATTTGGGCTGGTTTATTTTTGTGCTTCTTATAAAAATAAAATTTTTGATAAACAAATCAATACTGAGGAAGATAGAACATAAAACTGTGCCTGTGCTATTTACAAATCATTCTTATCTGTCAGTTGAAACAAGGTCCCTGGGATTAAGCACCGCTCTCGTGCTTTGGGGCTCTGCTGGTGTGAAAGTAAACTGAAATTTCTGGGTCACCTACCCGTGGGTCAGGCAGAAGTACAGAGCCCTTACAAGTGTGGCTTATTTTTCACACATAATAGCTAACATTTTTATAGTATCTTGCAGTTTACAAGGAGTTTGTACACACACATCCTTCACTTAATATTTTAATTAACAGTAGGTTGTTTTTTATTATCTCCCATTTTGTTGACTTAAAAAAAAAGGCAAAGGACTAAAATTGGTAGATGGCTGAGCCAGTGCCTGGACCATGTTCGCTGCATTGTACACACCTGGTTCATTTACTCATCCACAAGAACCCATGAAAAACAGCCACTTCTAAGTCCATGGAGCTTGCCTGTGGAAGGGCCTGGGTTTTCTCCAGGTCTAGCCACCTCCTGAATCTACCATCTTTCTACAAACCTCACTCCCGTGGTATGAGAGGTATGCTGTGACTCTTCTCCGAGACTGCAGCCAGGACACATGGTGGAAATGTGAGGTCCAGGAAAACTCTTCACTTGAAAACACCCAAGTAAACAAAAGCTGGAGATCAGAGGTGCTGAGTTTCAAGAGCTCAGACTTTGAATGGGGCAAAAAAGAAAGGACACGGAGAGGTAATGAGGCAGGACCAAGAACAGTACACAGTAATAAAGAATTCTGCGGCCAAACCAGTTTGGAAAATATTAAATTAAACAAAACGAAAGCTACCTGAACGCCAAGTCAGAGGCAAAGAGCACTGAACCCTTTATGAGACCCTTACATTTTTCAAAGCAATCTTATGATGGCTGATTTTTTGAGAGAGCCTCTTGTGAGGCTGAGATGTAAAACAGGATGACAGTTGCAGCTTTTGTTTGAACTGTAGTCCTCAAACTTAAGCACAAAACAGACTCCCTTTGGATGATCCACGGATTGCTGGGTGCTAGCCCCAGAATTCCTGATCGACAAGGCCAGTGATGAGGCTTGATAATCCTATTTCTATCAAGTTCAGAGTGATGCAGACCCGGAACCAAGGACCACATTTCCAGTGAACCACTATGCTGGGTCTAGCCACACGTCAGCCTTCAGTTGGACACAGGATGAAAGTCTAGAGTGATTTTCATTGTCTGTACCCTCCAAAGTTTAGGAAGATCAAAAGGCATCATGAAAGGAAGAAGAGCTGGTGAAAGAGAAGCCCCATGTATTTAGACAATCTGAAGAGAGTGGAGTCAATGTCACTTCTGTTTCTTCATGAGGCACAGACCTGTTGGGTTGATGACACGAATGGGTATCACAGTATTCATTACCTGTAAAGCAAAGAACCACTCTTCTCTGTCCAGTAGCAACTCTCCTAACCCTCTGCCTATCTGCTGGCTACCTGGGCCAGAGGAAAAGGAGTACAAACATTAACCCAACTGCAATTCTGAAAAATAATTATTGATCCAGGGGAGCTCTAGACAGAAACAAGCAAGAGCTTTGTGAAGCACTTTAGTAAAGTAACAGGTACCTTCCTCATATCACGGTACAAGTACATGGTCTGTACTAGGAACATGGGTGTTTTCAGGCTTCAAAGCACACCTATCCCCACCTGCTGAACCCAAAAGTGTGATACACCATGCAGATGACACACCTCCAGTTCTGCTGCTGTACCCTGATCTTCACTATTACTTTCCCCAAAGTGATGGAGGTTTTATTCTAGTTCAGTCACTTCTATGGCTGCTCTGACTGCCTATCAGAATCCCTTGCCCTTCCAAAACCTTGGCAGAAGCCAAAATTCCGAAGGACAGTCCTAAGGGACAAATGTTCTCAAACAGGAAGAAGATTAAAGCAAAGAGAGGACCCAGGCTGAGCTCCTGGAGTTGTGCAATGCTGTTAGTTCTGATAAGGAAGCGACAAGGGGCAATGCTTCCCTGTAAAAGAGATTTGCTGCAAGAAATGAAAGGAAAAAAATTGATACTATCCCAACGGTGATCTCTAAAGACTCAACCGAATTTTGCATCTGTGAAATTAGATCAACAGCCCTGAGACAGAAGCAAACCAATCGGACTGTTTGCTTGGACTTGCAGATCTGGGCAGCAGAATGGATACAGAAGGAAACTGGT